TGTGTATCTGTATATGATTAAGATGTGAAATTTGTGTATGTGCAGTGTGTGTATATGATATGTGCTATGTGTGTATGTGTGCAATGTGCATGTATATATCTATTCAATGGAGGGGCGTGGCATAGTGATGTGAGATATGAGCCTGTATGTAGTGCATGACATGTGTGTATATTTATATGGTGTGTGTGGTGTGTGAGATGTGTATTTATGTATGTGGTGTATATATGTGTGTAGCGAAGTGTGTGTGTATATCTCTGCAATGTGTGTGTGAGAGTATTATGGAATATGGTGTGTGTGGTGTGTACTTGTGGCATGTATGTATAGCTCTGCAGTGTATGAGAGAATGGAGATATGTGGACATAAAGTGGTATGTGGCATCTGTGTACATCTGTGCATTGTGTATGTAAGATGTACAGATGTTTTATATATGGTATGTGGTGTGTATGTGTGTATATGGTAATTGGTTATAATAATGTGCGTGTTTGTATTTACATGGGGCGTGGGGTTGAACTTTGTATGTGTGGTGTTGTGTGTATGAGTATGTGTGGTATGAGTATATATCTATGTAGTGTGTGTATGTGTGTGTGTAGGATGTAAAGTATATACGTATGTGATCTGTGTGGTGTATGGCATGTGTATATATCTGTGCAGTGGGGAGTAAGATATGGATGTGTGGCAGGGTGTGTTCAGTTTACACATCAACACTTACGTCACATGAGAGAGGACACACTTTCCAGATGAAATTAACCAGGAATGCCATGAGAATTTCTAAAGATATCGTTCGAATGTTTTAGGCAATGTTTTCGTGAAAGCTATACATTACAAGGTTATTAAGAGACTTTAAGGGAAAACAACTTTTAAAGTTCAACTCCTCTAGAACTAAAACAAAATTCGATTTATTCCACTGCCTAAGACATCATGGACACACTAAAACGGACTTGTAGTGACTGTTTGCTATGAACTTCAGTCACAGTTACTAAAGAGGAGCTGGAAGAAAGAATGTCTTTATAGATGAGTCCAATCAAAATTTAAGAACAAATTTCAGGATAAAATTAGTTTATAAAAATATCCATAAAGATAAATAGAAGATTAATGAATAAAGCAGATGGCTCACACACCCCAGATTTCATCAGATTCATTAATCAGAGAAAATAAAATTGTTTTAAAAGGGTTTATAAAATAAAAAAAACAAGTCCTTTTTCCAGAAGAAAATCAGTCCCAAATACCAGGGAATAACAACTCCTTCTCGGTTGGTAAAACCTCCTCTAGCCCTGGGGATTCCATGGTAGAACTCTAGCTGAGCATGTGTTGGGCCCTGGGTTCAATGTCCAATACTGGGGGAAGAAATTTCCAGGAAGCTCGTCATCTTCATTCCAGTAAAAGGGTAATACTCACAAGCTGAAATACAGCTATCAGCAGGACCTATGAATAGCCTAAGCTGCCAGCTCCCTGAGTGGCAATCACGGCATGCCCAGCTCTGCACAGGAGCCTTGAGCCTTAGTCCATCATTTGGATTGTCTTATTTTGACCATTGGCACTTGAGCCTGCCCTAAATGTGTTCACTGCTCAGCATATCAACCCCTCTTGGCCTTTTAAAGTCTGCATTCTAAACAGCCCTTCATGTGAGGACCACACTGGAGTCGAAGGCTGGCCTGGGGCACACCACAGTCTCACACCCAACAACTGTAGTCTCAGATTCTGCCAAGCAGTTCCAAAACCGGACCTGAGGCCTGCGTGTCCTCAGAGGTTCTTCAGGGCCAGGCTCAGACTGACTTTCCTTCCTAAAGTCTCCCTAGAACCAGGGAGGAGAAGGAGGAGCAGCCTGAGTGATCCACAGGGCAGTCACACCACACGCAGGTGAACCACTGCCGAGCAACCCTCCTTCATGCCCAGCGTGTTACAGACCGTCACATCCAAACAAACAGAAAGCAAACTTCACATCCAAACAGAAAGCAAACTTTAGACAGACATGTAATGACACTATTCATGGTTCTTTGCTGTTAGGATGTTCTGCTATGTCTATCTGGGGTATGGTTTCTTGTTCTTTCTCTTTTATGCTACCACAATTGATCAAGTGCCTGGGCTACTTCGAGGGCTACAGTGTTGCCAGTGAGGCCCGGCTGTCACTAGTCTAAACCTGAGCCCTCCTGAGTACATAAGCCTTGGGGGCTGTGACTAAGTTAACAGAGTGCTTACCTAAGATGCTGGAAGCCCCAAGTTTGATCCCCAGCTCCAGGGGATCTCCATGAACTTGAGAGGCCTACATACACCTGCAACTTCCACACAGAATTAGGTAGGAGGGTCAGAAGTTTAAGGTCATCATTGACTATATAATAAGTTCAAATCTAGGCTGGAATGCTAAGACCCTATCTCAAGAAAGGAAAAAAAAACTTTTTTTTTTAAAAAAAGGAGGGTAAACTAACAGCAGGCAGGGATAGTTGAAAATACAGGTTAAATGTGCTGTTAGCTTGGAATTCCGCTGGTTGAGAACTTTCTCAGTTTCATTTTTCCATCCTTCACTGGAAATGTCAGCAGCTGCTGAAGAAATGCTTTGATGTTGTGTCAACAGCCAACACCCATCAGGCTGTGGTGTGTACAGTACCCCTGTCCTGTAGCTGAAGTATCTGAGTCTTACCACTGCAGCGTACAGCATCCCGTGATCACCTACCCCTAGGTACTTCTTGCAGAAAACCTGTGATGATGCCGTATAGAAATCTTCCAGAGAGCTGGAAAGCATCTGAGACTGCCTTGAACTTGGAAAACAGAATTTTATCAAATGGAATTAAGGAGCTTTGCAAACTACAAACCTTCAGATTTTAGAACTGAGTTCCTGTTATAAAATGCAGGCTTTTAAAAGCATCAGAAGAATCCTTCACTCCTCAGTAACACTAAATTAAAAGATTTTCAGTTTTTCAATAAAACAAGTCATTTTAAAATTCAGCATGCCAATGTGGGGAATCTGCTCGCGTGTGCCCACAGAGGGTCATTTGATCAGCTGAAGGCGACATGCACACAAGACTACATTTTTCCTTTAATGTCTGGGCTTCTTTCTGTGTGAACTCAGACTTCTGCAGGGATGCAGGGACCACCTCTGGGCTTACGTTCACATGACACCACTGTTCACAGATGCTAAACAACAGGGACAATAGAGGACAGTACAGGCCACTAATGACTGGTACCATGCACCCTGGGGCACTGCTGTGTCCTCTCCCTTGGAGACACAGGTAGCCTCAGAGTAGGCCCAATAAGCTTTCTGACCCTCAATGTACTGCCACTGGCTCTGAGATAACTCAAACCTGTCCCCACAGAAAGAGTCTAGGCTAAACCACTATCTTCCTATGTTCCTCATTTGGCCCAGACCTTAAGTAAAGTGGTTTTTCTACCTAAAATACCATTTTAATTTGTCTGGCTGAATATTCAAATTCCAGATTCAATGACCCGCTCCTTGGGAAGGGATACAGCCGACGTCAAGTAAAGTGGTTCTTTCAAAGCGTGAGTTTGAGAATTGCCCCTCATTTTGAAAACAGCCTCTGTGTTCTGCCTAGCACACACCAGCAGCTTTGCCCAGCTCCACGTGCTTGTCTTAAATGCTTCACAAACAGAAGCATAAGATGCAATTATGAAGCTAACAGAGATAACAAACATGTTCTAGTCATGGTTTAGCCTCCAGGTAGCCGTGGTTTGGTTTCTGTTTGGTTTCTTGCTTCGTTAGTTTTACTCTTTAGACCCTGGACATATCATTTAAACAAGCAATATTCATCCCTTTAAAGATTAAACTCAACCAAATGTGTATGTTTGATGCTGAGCTGTGTCCCTTTTGCTAAAACATGATGCTAAAGTATGATATGCGTTCAGTAGCTGAGAGGTCAAATTCAAGTGCAGACTGGAGGGAGGGGGGAGGTTCCGGTGGCCACATTCTCTTTATGTGTTTTATACAGTCAAAAATAGCATGCATTCCTTTGGGGATTTGGTTCCAACCTGCCAAGATACAGCATATTTACCTGAAGATGCGCCATGTGGGGTTTTTTTTAATTGGATCTGTAACTAGTGCTTACAGACCAGACTGTTCTACAGGTTTGTCAACGCAGGTGGTGGGGAGAGCTTCTGTCTCATCAGAAAAGCCACACCTGAGGTAAGCCCCTGGACTCTCTCCTGTCCCTCACCTGGGAGAAGCATGGCTGTGGCTGCTTCAGCTGGTCAGACTGGAGGAAATGGGTTGGTAGATTACCTGAGCTGTAACACCATGCTTGTGAACTGCAGGAATTCTGCCAGTTACATTGTGAATTTTTGAAAAACGATTAACATTATTTGTGTTGCAAGAAAAACTCCTTTCCAGCCTGGGGGAGCAAGAGCCCCAGCCTCATCCCCCTCTTAGCTCATTTGAAGGAAAGACTACTATTACCCAACTACTCCTTGAACCAAGACAGTTCAGGGCCGAAGAGTATCTTTTCAGGTAAAACACGAGAACCCCTCTTACAGGAAGCAAGGCTGCCTCTGCCCTGACCTCCAGAAGTTGGGCGTTCTTGCTCTGGAGGGGAAATATGACCCACCCCGCCGCCACAGAAGGACACAGAAGTTGTGGCATTGGGGTACATCCCTCGTCGGGGGGAGGTGGCTGCCACGTCTGACTAGTGTACTTCTGGTAGGCCAAACCATGATCTCAGGATGGACGCCTAGAGCGAGAGGGGACATTGGCAGGACTCCTGGTGAAGTCAGGTGGCAGGAGTATGCCTCAACACCAGTGCTCTGGGGAAAGCAGGCCCCATGCGAGGAGACCAGACAGTTCAACCTTAACCCTACGTACCAGCAAAAGGCACATTTGTAGTTCACTCCTTGCCCTGTCGAGCAAGAGGATGGCTAAGGAGGGCGCATTTCCTCACATCCAACAGTCGTCTGTGTTCCCCGCACCTTGGGGCTCCAGAGGACATTTGTCCCAAGGCGTCCCGACTCCCCCACGCACCCTGGCCCAGGACCTTCGCCCAGCTGTGTGGGTTACCCACCTTGACCACATAGGTGACTCCCGGCCCCAACACCTGCTCGCTGGCGTGAGGAGCGCCCCGCGGGGGCCTGGGCAGCGGCTCGTCGCCGGCCCGGCTCTTCCTGGTGGCGCTCATGCTGGCGGCCTGGGCGCGAGCCCCGGGGGTCGCGCTGCCACCGTCCGGGGCCGCCAGGCTGGGCGCGCTGCAGCTGCCCGAAAGCCGCGCGCCCACCCGCTCCCGGGCAGCGGACGACAGGCCGCGCAGGCCGGAGCTGGAGAGTTTCAGGTGGGACACCTTGTGGAGCAGGTGGCCCAGGCTGCCGGGCCCATCGTCCGGCGCCTTGCGCAGCGCCTCGCCCGACACCAGGTAGGGGGTCGCCGCGGGCGCCGCCGCCGAGACCTTGCCGCCGCTGCCGCTCACCGACAGATTGTGGAGAAGGTCATCGACCGATGTCACCGAGTCATTCCTGAAGCGGTTGTACTTGGTGCGTGGAAGCATGCCCCTCCGTGAGCTCGCCGCATCCGCCCGGGCGCTGCTGCTGCCGGCCCCGGCGCGGGCTGCCGCGCATAGCACACGAGCCGCGGGCCCCGGAGCGGGACAAGGAGCTGGGGTCCCGGGACAACCTTTCCGGAGAGGGACAGCCGAGGCTGACGACCGAGCCCTCACACCGTTACAAGGCAGCAGAGCAACCGACACGCAGCGCGGGCCCGGAAGACCACGGGTTGGGGTGGAACGCTTGCCTTGCAAAAGTCATAGTTGCCGCTGATGGAGCGCCCAGCTGCACGGGGCTGCTCCCAGCAAAAGCGTGACTCACTCTGAGGAGACCCTTCTCAACAAAGGCTCGGTGAGCTCCGCAAACCACTTCCTGTAGCAAAAAGAGAGAGAGAGGGAGAGAAGAAAACGACATCCACCCGCTGACAGCAACTACAGCCAATCAGTTCTCAAATTTCCTTTTTTTACCTTCGCAGATATTTCCTTCCAATCTTTGCTTTTTCACCTACCCCTGCCCCATCCTGCATTTGTGCCAAAGTTAAATCCAGTTCCTTCAAATGATCTCTTGAACTTTCCAAAACCCATTATTCCATGCTAGGGTTCGTTCTTCCCCTGCCAAGCTCATGAGGATGAGCCCCAGAAGTGTCTGACAGCGAGCGATGCGTTAAAATGTGACGAAGGCTTTTTAAGAAGTCTTCAGGCAAATCCTGATGAATCTTGATTTAGGAAGCAGCAACAATTTTTCAGAAAAAAAAAAAAGGAAAAGAGGGAACCCTTCACCATCAGGTGAAAATGTAAAAAAAATAAATAAATAAAAGGCGTCGGTTTCCTGTGGTTTGCTTTTCTTGTTCACATCCACAGAGCAGCCATGTGTGTCTGCTGGCGAATGTCTGTGGCGATGCAATTCCTCAGACAACACACGGAAAAAAAAATCTGCACATGAACTTCTTCTCAGTACAGCTTAGGGGGTCTTGCCTGATCATTTACAGCAGCCAGCAGCCTTTCTCAGTCAGGATTAAGTTGAAAATCTACTTCCAAAAAAGAATGGTGCTTCTCTGATGAGCGGCAACAGGCTCCAGAAATCCATGCCAAGAAAGAAAAAGGGAAAAAAGAGGGTTGAGCTCTGAGCTTTATTCCAACTGAATGTGTTTAAGCCCTGGAAGCACGCCTTAGTAACACCACCAATCCATGTCAATGTCCCTTCAGCTGCTGCTTTGCAGCCCTGCAGTCAGGCAGGAAAAAAAAAAATGTGGCTGCTCTAACTGCCCATCAAATCCACAGGAAGAACGGCCTCATCCTTGGGAGTCGGGCTCAGGCTTGCAATGACACACACAGGCCTTCTTCCTGGCGTTTAGGAGAGCAGGACATCGACAGCCTCCCGGAAGGTCTGTCCAAGATTCTGAGACCTTCCTCGGTGGCCTCTGCCAGGTGGCCTCATGCATTAAGATGAATAACCTGCATCACAGGGAAGTCAACCGCTGTCAAAGTTTCCCGGTAACTTCTGTGCCAGCGAATGCTTTTGCCTTCTAGCACACTAGCAGGTCACCCTGAGTCTTCTCACGCCCAGGGCTGATCTCAGGTGGCTGCGAGGTTCCCAGGCTTTCTGGGAGCCCCAGGAACGGAGTTTAGGGAGTGTCACCCATGGCGGGCGCACGGGTGAGGCCGGCTCCAGAGGACGAAGGAGCGCTGAGCAGCCAGGCCCGCCCTGTCGCAGCAAACGCGTCCCCACCGCTCTCCAACCGCGCCGCAGCCCTAGCCCAGCAGCCACCCCGCACTCTCTTTTTTCCCTTCCCCTAGCTTGCATAGCAACAGCAGATGCGCACCCCACGGACGATTTCGATGGTGATTAGAGTCCCCCTCCAATCTGAAGCAAGTCAGCCCCACCATTCCCAAACCGTGGTCTTCATTAGAAGCAGACAAAAAAACGACAGAATGTGAATGAGATGCTGTTTGTGTGAATGAAAGGGCCAGCGAGCGAGCCAGCGTTTCTGTGAATGGAGCGGGGCCTTGCAGCCAGTGCCAGGCAATCCCCTGGGCTCAGGCGGCCTCAGCCAATGAGCGGCTGCGCCGATGACTCATTCAACAAAGGCTCGCTCAATAGTGGAAGATTCCATTTCAATCAAGGGCGGGATCTTTTATCCAACAGCAATGTGGGAAAAAAAAAAAGAGAGAAAGAAAAAAAATAACACCACCCAGATTGATTACAAAAATGCCGGGAGGAAGAGACAAGCCTGTGTAGAGAGAGGCGAGAAATTAGCTTTATAAGGATGTTGGAGACCAGTCGGGTCAGGTCCCGGTGAAGCAGGACCACTCTCTTGAAGGTGAGCTGTACCCAAACTTTCATTCACTGGTTCTTCTACATCATGGAGCAGCCATGAATGTACCAGCTTTTATTATGAATGCACACAGAAGGCACAGTCAAAGGCTAGCCTCTTCCCCCTGAAGTCTTTCCTAATTAAAGAAATCAAACATCTATGCCAGCTAAGCCTCCAGAGAGGTGGAGGGGGATCCCAAAGCTGCATCATTAACCCTTTAGCCAACAGGAGAGTTTCAATTCTATTATGAGGCCAACGGAGGGAAATGAGTGAGAAAATATGAATGGCAGTGTAAAATTCCATACAAAAATATGCTCGTTGCTGTGTGCTGTTAATATTTCAAGAATATAATACAATACAGTAAGACTACAGTTAACTGGAAAATGGTATGAATGTTTTGGTATGCAAGAGAGAAAGAAAAAAATCTAAAAAGCCCAAATGCGTCAGATGGAGTTCCACAGCCCCTGCAGGGGAGCTCCGCTCACGTGCTGAGCCCAGGAGAGCCCTTTGTTCCCCCTGGGGAGCCCTGCCTTGCTTATTTTAGGCACTATTCTCCAAAACCCAAGCATCTGGGCTACCAACCTGCAACCCACCGACAGTGATGAGAAAGGGGGGCGCCTGGATAGATAAATCTAGATGCCATGTTCGTAGTCTACGCTGTGCTTTGAATATCACGTGTTATCTGAATGCTCGTGTTGACGTCTAACCCTGGCAACCATTCCGAGGGTGAAAGCTTAATCTGTATCATTTAGTGGAAGGGCTACTGGGACGCGACTGGGATTGGGTGGTCAGAGTAGAACCTCAGTGGCTGAATACTGGTGGCTTTGTGGAAACAGAGGAGGCTCAAGTGACAGCCCAGTCAGTCAAGGGCTTATCTTGTAAGCATGAGGACCTGAATCCAATCCTCAAAAACTCATATCAAAAAACAAAAATGAACAAACAAAAAAAGATCTTGGCCTGGTGATCCAGTGTTGCATAAGCCAAAACAGGCAGATTCCTGGAGCACTGAAGCCAGCCAGCATTCTCTACTCAACCAGTCCTAGGCCAAGATGAGACCCTATCTCAAAAACCAAGATGGGGCCAGAAAGGTTGTTGTCAACCTTGATGACCTGAGTTCAATCCCCAGGACCCACATGGTGGAAAGGGACTCTTAAAGTTGTCCTCTGACCTCTGCACACATGTTGTAACATGCATGCCCCCCCCCCAGCAATCTAATGAAAAGTTGTTTTTAAAGAAAATATGACTGTCCTCTAAGGAATGAAAGTAGAAGCTCTTCTCTGTCCTCGACATGCGTGCACTCCAGCACACACATACAACCGCACACACATGCTCACACAAACGGGAAAGACCAAAGTTTGTGCATCGTGCACGCACACACATACAAACACACACCCACACATGCATGTTCCCTTTCTCTCACCATGTGAATGCCTGAGCCACTTCAGACTCTGCTGACAAGAAGAGTCATTCTGGTCTCTCAACTGTACCAGACCCTGGAACCAAAGTAAATATCTTTGTTCATAATTCACCTAATTTGGGGACTGTTATTAACAAGGGAGTTGGATTAAAACGCCATAACAGCACAAAGATAGCACCCTGCCAGAACAGCGGATAGTGAAGGCTGCTTGTCCTTACTCCTCTGCAACCCAGTGTCCTCCAATGAAAGGAAGGCACATTTCCTACTTGCAGGATTCTCTGTTCATCAGGATGAAGAGTCCAGTCAGGTGAAATAATAAATGCATGGGGGATTAGGAGTCCATGTAGAGACATCCAGTGCAGAGGTTGAAACCGGGGAATTTTAAATTCTCTAATGAGATATAAAACAGGTGGGTCAGATATTGGCTTGGCCGTGCGTGTTTATCATCCTGGCATTTGGATGGTTTGTGGCCTCTAGTGGGACAGCCAGGGCTGCATGGTGAGATTCTGTCTCAAGAACAAATGAAATAGTCAGAAATTGTAGGATAAGCATAAAACCCAGTTTGAAGGATGCCGTGGGTAAATGGGTGCAGTGATGAATACCATCACAGCCTTAAGGAAATGTCCTCACCAATGAGCAATGAATGCCCATTGCAAGTGCTGTTTACAGCCCATTTTGCACAAATGGAAGTCAAGGATCATTGGGGCTACACAATGTGCCAAACCACAGCTTCTGTCTTCACGGCCACACAAAGAGATGTACCTCAAAGAGGTGTGCTGTCTGCTGTCCAGTGAGCCTTCTCCCTGTGGGTACTGGTTATCTGTCATTAGCTAGCATAGAACAGAGGTGCCAATGGCATGAGAGACAGAAAAAGGAATGGAAAGTTCAGACTTTTTGGAAGATAGAATGGAATTTTTTTAAGATTCCTGTTACAAAGAGGAGCTAGGGAGATGGCCAGTCAGTGAAACGTCTGACACACAAGCACAGCGTGAGCTCAGAACCCACATAAAAAGTCCAGAATGGCAGTGCCCACCTGAAATCCTACTGCTAGGAACAAAGAGACAGGAAGACCCCAGAAGCTCCATGACCTGTTCAGTTAATGAACTCCTAATTCAGTCCTATCCAGTTAGTGAGCTCCTAATTCAGTGAAAGACTCGGTCTCAGAAATTAAGGTGGGGAGCTGGAGAGATGGCTCAGGGATTAAGAGCACCGGCTGCTCTTCCAGAGGGCCATAGTTTGATCACCAACACCCACATGGTAGCTCACAACTGTCGGTAAAGCCAGTTCCAGGGAAGTCGATGCCCATTTCTGGGTTCCTCGAGCACTAGGCTCACACATGGTATACAAATATAAATGCAGACAAAGCATCAATACACCTAAAATAAAAATAAGTACAGTGAAGAGTGATAGACAGTCCCCTGCCTTCACATGCACACACATGCACACACGCACATGTACACACACACACATGAACACAAACACATTACAAAAACATAAATACAAATGTTAAGATATAATAGCATACAACAGAGAGAAGTCAGAATATGTAATAGAATAAAGGGGTAGTATAGAATGAGAGGGAGGGAGGGAGGGAGAGAGGGAGGGAGGGAAGGGGGGACAGCACACAACAGTGAGACCCTCCAGGAATTGCAGGCTTCAGTACTTTAGGTTGGATTTCCTGGTAGATTTCTATCAGACCAGAAAAGAAGGGGGGGACAAAAAATGGTGGGTTGAGGAGTTAGGATGGATTTCTAGTAGTGGGTGGGGGGAATACTGTCCTTAGTGTCACCTGAGTATTCCTCTCAGGCGCTCAGCGTCAGAGGAGCAGCTAACAATAACCTGTGAGACTGCATGAGCAAACCCAGTGATGCCCGAGCGACTGAGGTACAGTTGCCTCCAGTGCGCACACACACCTCCCCACCTGGGGCCTACAGCTGCCAGTTAATAAACCTAGCTGCGGTTATAGGCTGGCTTTACCCCCCATTCCCTCCCTGAATCAGACAGTCACTCTTGGGTGGTGACCCTGGAGAAGATAACCACTACACAGTGTTGCCTACCATCCACACCATGTAAACAGACAGAAGCATTTGCTCTATAGATGTAGGTGCCTGGGGTGGTATTTAGGACAGACTAGGTTAACTGGGACAACATCTGCATGGCTCATTGACTGCTCTTACACACACACACACACACACACACACACACACACACACACACACACACACGGGGCTCTGATGTCCTGCTGTCTGCTCTGGGGAATGTGAGAGGCAGAGAAGCCTCCGTCTGAGACATTGGTATTCAGACAAGAAGAGCCCTAACATTGCTTTTACAGCGCTGCAAGTCTCCACCAGGAAGTGCAGGAAGTGCCAGGAATGAGCCACCTTTGTAGAAGGTTGTTAGGCCCCTTATGAGATGCTGGTGGCAGGTTTTTGTCTATACTGAGCTGTTGCTGGGCCATCTCTGGGCTTGTGGACAGTGTGGTGGGTGTGTTGCTAGGAAACAGCCAATTGAGTGGAGTCCGTGGGAGGCTTCCTACGGAATCATGTGATCTGTGGATGGCCGCACATCCTGTGGTCAGCAAGGCTCTGCCAGGATGGCGTGAGAGGTAAATGGCCAGCTGCCGTGCCCATGGTGACCCCGTGGCATTGTCGAGATGGAACCGCATTTTACCAGACTCTGACCCTCTCCAGGGTTGTTCAGGGCTTTGGCCTTCAAACCAGATTCTGCCCCCACAAAGTCATGCCCAGGCCCACCTCTGCTGTTTTAGGAAGTGCACTGGCATTCCTAACAGGGCGCACTTCCAGTTAACCTGATCCCAGGATACGGCTCCCTGGTGACAGTCGACATACCTGCAAGCATTGCTTCTGGACAACTAAATAGCCGTCTCAGGACTTCTCCCTAATGCTACAGAGAACACTGCACCCGAGTTAGAAGCATGAAAGCAAACCCGTTTATTTGAGTCTGAAAGTCCCCAACTGTGAGCATGCAGACCCAAATCCAGAGAGATTGGCCCCTGTCTGTGCACTCAAGGGCACAGACAGAGACTCAGACACACAACAGAAATAGACTCTCAAAATATATTTGTGGATAGTCGGGACTAGGGGAGAGAACCGTCAGTAAGTGAATAAGCCCTACACATCCTCCAGTTCAACGGTTCTCCTCCCCTTCCTAACGCTGCGACCCTTTTAACTGTTCCTCATGTTGTGGTGACCCCCCAACCATAAAGTTGTTTTTGTTGCTACTTCTTAACTGTAATTTTGCTGCTGT